TCTTACTCAGCCGCGACATCATCCTCAATAATCAACTTAGCAACTTCTGGTAGGAAATTCTTATCGTCATCATTGAATAACAACTTAGTGCTTTTATTCGCCGCCTTCATCGCTGGTCCCAAATGATCTCGTATAAAGGCGAGCTGAGCCTCGGGTGTGAAAATGCAAGTCGCCCAATTTTGAGTTATATAATTCCTATCAAAACATCACTACTCACACAATTTGATATTCACTTTACCAACTTACTGCGGTTCGTTCTGTTGCGTTATCGCCCATATTGGTACTCCTAATTTCTCATAAGCGTCCACCTGTGGATGAAATATATATTCGTTTTCCTCAATTGCAATTACACTAATTATACAAAAAAGTAGAAATGTACAGAAACGGAATGATGATGAATTCTCAAAATTTCCTCAGAACTTTCATGTAATAGTAAAATTCTGAGAGAATTTTGAGAATCATATTGTCATCACCAACAACATACTCGATGACCATGGGCATATTTTCCTCCACTGAGCTGATACAGTGTTGGAGGAATATTTCTTCACTTTCCTCAGCAGAGTTCAGGAGTTTCCTCAATAACTATAGAATTTCAGGTACAAAAACTAACAATAGTTTCCCGAAATTTTCTCATATTGTCACCAACACCTGTACTAGTTGACCATGTGCATATATTTCCTCTCAAAATGTTTGAGGAATTTATGCCTACCTTTCCTCACCAATTAAAATAGTTTACATACCAATTCACATAGACGTGTACCGAAACCAATGAAAAACTTCCCAAAATTTTCTCATATTTTTCCCCAACCTACCCATTTAACGAGATAGTCAGCCCACGCCCTATGATAACGTGGATCCTCTTTGAGGCAAGGGTTAGGGCTTCCGTTCATACTATGATTTCCGAGTTTCATCCACGACGGCGGCGACCAGGCACTGCCTGATAACGAGAGATGAATTGTGACCATCAGACAGGGAGAGTATTTTTCTCATATACAAATTTGAAAATTTAATAATGAGTGTTTTCCGCTGAAAATTTAAACAAGGCTTGGATATAGTGGAGTTTCAGCCTAGTGATATGAAAAACAGCAGCGAAAAAATGTTTTTCAGTATGGAGTATTACAGACCTATTTACATTACTTCAAATAGAACGGGTGAAA